TTTTACCGTCTTTTGGTTTGGCTAACAAAGGCGGATTCGATAGATATGACTTTAGGTCCTTGAGAGCTTGTTGGCACTCATCAGTACATTCAAACTGATTCTGCTTTTTCAATACTAAAAAGAATTTAAAACTTTTTTCCGACGACTTTGATATAAACCTTCCTAGAGCTGCTATCTTGCTTGTTAATCTCTGCACTTCTTTCTTGCTCGTGAGTATATCTGGTATTTTCTCAATAGCTATGATCTGTGCAGGATTTACTTTAATACCCCTGTTAGAAACAAGAAAACCTAAAAACTTACCTGAAGCCACGCCAAAAGCATATTTTTCCGAATTTATCTTCATATTATACTTGTGGAGAATTTCAAAGGTGTATGACAAGTGTTGAAAATGATCTCCCGCCTGTGTTGACTTGACTAACATATCATCTATGTAGACTTCCATGGTTTTTTCCAGATATTCTTGAAACATTTTCGTCACCAATCTTTGATATGTGGCTCCAACATTTTTCAAGCCAAATGGCATGACTTTATAACAATAAGTCCCCCTGTCTGTGATAAAGGAAGTTCTTTTTTCATCTAGAGGGTCCATTTTTATTTAGTTATATCCTGAGTATGCATCTAAAAAGTTTAAAAGTTTATGACATGCGGTAGAATCAATTAGTTGATCTATATGCGGTAAAGGAAATGAATCTTTAGAACAAGCCTTATTTAAATCGGTAGAGTCTATGCAACCATTTTTCGTCCTTTTTTGGAACCACAACGGTATTAGCTAACCAGTCAGGGTATGTTACCTCTCGTATTCAACCAATTTTCAAAAGCATTTATACCTCATCCTAAATCATTTGATTTTTGAAGGATCCTTGCTTCCTTTTCTTTTGCTTGACAAGCTGGTGTAATGAATCCTTATTCAGTTTATGATTCTTCACCTCCGGTGGTATAGCTATCATATCTGAGTGCGACCAAGCAAAGCAACCTCTGTTAGCACGTAAAATATTCAATTAACTTACCTTTCATCTCGGGCTCAAATTTGCTCTGATGTAAACTTTCCTATCTGGCCAGTGGTCAAATAATATTACGGCTTCGAGCTCCTCGTTGGTTGTTTTAATGTTCTTATTTTCCTCAGGCTCCTGAATCATATCGGGTCTCGAGTAGACATCGGTTTGCCTTAGCGTGTCTTCAGTTGAGGTTTTAGCAGCAGTGTCCTCAACTGAATTCTATAATTGCTATTCCGCAATTGAACCATTGGCTCCTATGCTTGAAAACACCACCGAGTTGATATTTTGTGAAGCTTGTTGGTCTCCGTGGATTTGACGAATTCCCCACTGTGAAGGAAATTTGATGACTTGATGTAAAGTGGATGGGACAGCATCCATATCATGAATCCATGGCCTTCCCAGAATCATATTATAGGCCATATCCGCGTTTATCAACTGGAACTTCGTATCCTTGATGACCCTTTTTACAAATGTGGTAAGTACAACTTACCATTTTATAACTACACTTGAATTATCAAACCCAGACAAGGTTCGTGCTTTTGGTATGACCTTTTCATTAGCTTGAATTTCATTCACCACCCTCAGTAAAATGATGTTCTGAGCTACCTAGATCAATCAAAACTCGTTTTACATTAGTATCATGTACAAGCAAAGATATTACCGGTGCATCGTTGTGAGGAATCATCAAGCCATTCGCATCTTCATCGTCGAATGTTATATTGTCGCCATCCAAGACTTAGCGAACTCGCTTCCCGTGAGTGACAGTGACCTTTGACGTATTTTTTGCGGTTGTAAATGTCACTCCATTGACCTCATTTCCTCCGGTTATGACATTGACTGCTCTCTTTGGTGATAGAGGCTTTGGGGGTTCCTGTATGTTCTTCATGTATGATTGTCTTCCTTTCTCACTGAACAGATCAGTAAGGTACCCTTGCTTTAATAAATGTTCGACCTCTCCTTGCAAAAGCCTGCAATCTGATATTTTATTGCCATGATCATTATGAAACTCACAACAGAAATCTGGGTTTCTTTTGTTCGGATCTGACCTCATCTGTTTTGTCCATCGCACCTTATCTCTCATACCTCTTAACAACCACTAATTAAGAGGTGCTAACGTTAAAGTTGTAATCCCCTATTCTTGCTTGCGTATCGGAATCATTGTTACGGGCATCCCGCTCCTTTTTGAATCTAGATGAAGAGCTCGCATATTTTTGCCTTGATCTTGGATCAAATCGTGGATTCTCCCCTTTAGATCGAGAATCTTATCCCACAAGTCCCATAAATGGCTCGTACCTATTTTTACCGGACCTCCTTTCTGATTCTGAGCGTTTCGAACCTGATCTTTCTTTGGCCCTTGGAAATGCGACCGTATCTTCTTTTATTCACAGCTTCGTACTGTATCTATTGTACACATTGTTCCAAGTTGTTGCATGAAATTCTCGCAAACTTTCCTTCAATCTCCTCATGGCTTCTGAACTTTTCTCGTTCAAGTTGCCCGCGAATGCCATAGCCGCCCAATTATCAGGTACTCGAGGAAACATCATCCTCTCCCGCTGGAATCAATCTACGAATTCCTTGAGTAATTCTGTACTTCCTTGTTTAACATTAAAGATGTCCTCCATCCTTTTTTCAACTTTTTGAGCTCCCGAATGTGCTTTTATAAATGAATCTGCAAACTCAGCAAAAAAATCAATAGAATTTTCAAGTAAAAGAGAATACCATGTTAACGCCCCTTTTGTGAGTGTTTCACCAAACATTTTAGCAAAAATTGTTTCGATTTCTTGCTTGGTCAAATCATTGCCTTTCACGCCGGTAGTAAACGCAGTCACGTGATCACGAGGGTCAGTTGTTCCATCATATTTGAGAATATCGGGCATTTTAAATTTTTTGGGAATCGGTAAAGGTGCTGTACTTGGGTTCCAGGGTTGTTGTGAATACTTGTCAATATCCACACTATTGATCACGGGTGGTACGCCAGGTATTTGCTCTATACGATCGTTTTGCTCCTTCAATTGTTTCTGCAAATTTAGCACTAAACTTTGTAAATTATAATTATTTGGTGTACCTGACCCTCCACCACGAGATTCATTGGGATTTTCTCCACTTCCAGAGTTATCAAGCCCTGAACGTGGGTTCTCCAAAGTTGTCGTGTTAATTGGCGGAGGAGTTTGCGCCGCATCGGGTAATCCTCTAACAAAAGCCTGCAGTGCACTGTTCACGTGTTCTGCAATCAATTGCTTTAGAGCATCCTGCTCCATGGTTTGGTCGTCTCCCTCCTGATCATCAGCGCGCGAAGCAGGCCTTCAGGTGAATTCGCATGGGATTGCCGAGGGGATCCTGTAGGTGTGTGCTGTGGTGGAGTTCCACCTTGTTGGTTCAGCTGATCGTTCTCGTTAACGGTTGATTGGTTGTCAAAAATGGAGTTTCGAAAGTCAAAAGATTATCAGATTTTCGGTAACGAAACCAATCTCTTTAACCAAAAATAGATTTCTCGGTAAAAGTCAATATCTAGAAGAAATCAGGTTACTGATAACCAAGATTTACTTCACTTTCCCAACGATTTTGGAAGAGTGAATCAAAGAATGAAAATCATTGATAGAGAAAATAAGAAATGAACTAATAATCACTTCCAAAATTAAGGCTTAAAGCTTGGAAATAAAGCAAAGAATAACAGTATGGATTTCAATAATAATCGTTACTTGCCTTTATAAATGAAATGCCAGCCCTTATATAGGAGCGTACAATTATCCCTTGCTTAATTTGGGCTCATTAATGGTATTAATTGTATTGATTGCCCGTTACTACGTTTAACCGTAACAGAAACATTTATGACTAAAGATTCCTTGTAACTGTACCGATTTCCCTTCCTTATTTACATCAGTTTCGTGTATCTTCCCTTCTTTGCAGCCTTTATTCATTCCGCTCCTGTTTCTCCTTTTACAACTGTTGAGTATGGTTCTTTCCTCAATATAACCCCGTGGGTGTTTCTCCCGTGCCTTTTTCTGCACTCTTTAATTCGTCTAATTAAGAATGTCACTTGTCCTTACATTGATGTTCCACGTATCATACCTCGTCAGCTTGTTGATAGCCCACGTGTCATGTCTTTTTTCCACTAATACACAGTGTTTGTCCGTCACTAACTCTTATTTTTATAGTAGTAAAATAGATAGCCGGATTTAACTTCTGTGACTAATTGTTTTGTAGCTTTTTACTTCATCTAAGTTAAAATGATCTATAATAAGATTATCTATAGTAATTCTGAATTGTGAACCTAAAAAGATCAGCTAACTAATTTAATTTCTTACAGCCATTAAAATACACTAGTGTAAATACTATTTACACCATATGCATCATAGTTGTATATAAGTTGAATCCTACTTAACCATAAACCAACTCCTCCCCTCTACAACAACGTGCCCCACGCTGCCACATCAGGTGGATCTGGTAGTTACGAGTTCACGTGATATATATAGAGATCAACTCGAGATCATTTTAGAAAGACACAAATTTCAAATTTTGAATTTGTATTTGTGCTACATATATAAGTTATATCCCAACCCCCTACCCCTCATCCCTCTCAAGTCTCAACAACCGAAAGAACCACTGTAACAATTAAAGAGTTGACCAGATTGACAAGTCAAGGGATTTGATCAAAGAGCTTTCTTTTAAGTAAAATAAAGAAATGATACCTCTCTTTTTCAAGAAAACCAATCCAAAGGCTTCTACAAAAGGTGAAGTAGCCCTTCAGGTAAGAAACGAAAGTACGAACCACCAAAGGGTGTGATGCAGTGGATGAGACCGCTCTTCCCTTAACCAGAGGTCTCGAGTTCGAGCTCTGGGTATGGAAAAATCCTTGGTAGGGAGCACTTCCCCCGAATGAGGCCCTACGCGGTGCGAATCCGAATATAGTCGGGCTCCAATACGAGTGCCAGACGCCGGGTGGGAAACCCAAAAAAAGAAAAAAAAGAAAGTACGAACCAATTAGAGGTAGCTCGCACCTAAACTATTATGAGTAATCTTCAAGCTGATTCTTCCTTTCCTCTTTCAACTTTATTTATTCTCCCTTCTTATTGAAAGCCGCCCCTGCTGTAAAGAAACCCACAAAAAGGAAAGAATTATCTCTCTTATGGAAAAATACCAAGTCATATTTCCGTTGCTTGTCTTCTTTGGTTTTATCTCCTTCTCTCTTTGCATAGCTGCTGAATTCAAGAAATCAAAGGTATTCGCTATCTTTAGTGTTTGCAATGAAAAATATGTATCTCGTATATAATTTCTTATCACTAAGTTAATGCATATTCTCACTTTTATAGTTGATTCATAATAAGGTTAAATTGTTAAACATAGTGTGTGAACACATAATAATTTTTCTTTACTTTCCTAGCTTTTATTGACCTTTTAATCACTTACGAAATCAAGGGATAGTCACTTGCATCGAGTTTTACGCTAATAAAACTGGAGAATTGTTTGATACTAATATTAAAGCATAAATCATGCTGCTTGAGTAAAGTACATGTGTCAGAGAGGTGAACAAAAATAAATTCCTCTATTAGGATATCTCTCTTCTGAGTTATGAGATATCATTGCCCGCAAAATCTGGCAATTGTTTCCGATACATTTCTTCTCAAATAATAACATTTAAAAGTAAAATGTATATATATACCGTCTTTTACAAGTCATTTACTATCTTTTGCAGATTACAGTTTCATGTTTGTTATTAAAAATTACTTGTAATTTTGATTTTCAAATGACCTGAGAATGTAAAAAAAGTTTAGTGTCAATGTATAGTAGCTAAATTCTAATTCATTTTCCTAGAAAAAAATAATACTATATGCAAGGGTGTATCTATACAATACGTTGGAGCATTCTCTCTATACCATGTGTAATGTTATATTCTTATGGTTCAATAATTATTTGTTGCGGCTTTACAAGTGAAGTTAGCGGTTCAATTCTCAGTTTGTAGGCATGTCTAGTGTCCCCTCTTGTTTTAATTAAGTATTTTTTTTATTTGGTTTATTCATTCAAAATCGTCACATCTAACACATTGAAATCCTTGATCTACCTTTGTCATCACAAAATTTTATATTATTATAACTAATAGCAATGATGTAGCATGGTTCAGTGATCTAAATTTTTTTGATACAGAGTATAGATATATATATGTTAAAAATCACAAAAATTGTAAGAATTTTTTTAATTTTAACCTATAATTTCTAAATGATAATGGATTCATGGTAAGAACCTAACGGTTGGATTCGCCGAATATAAATTCTAAATTTACCTATTTGTAATAGTGCATCCATCTTCTTGAAATATTAAATTCACCTCTGACTATATGTGGTATATATAATTACCTACTAATGAAAAGTAGAGGGTATTGGAAATGAATTGATTAGTTCTTTGACACTTTGAGTAGTTGATTAATAAAAGGATCTTTATATAAATAGCCGTTCGATTCACTGTTTACTTTTCTTATCCCGTATATATATATATATATATATATATATAA